TGTGTGTGTGTGTGTGTGTGTGTGTGTGTGTGTGTCCCGGGGGAGGCTTGAAGGCAGTACGGAACTTGCTGCAGGAGTGCAATTCTTAACGCAGATGAAGCTGTATCTTGTTGCTTCATGGCAACAGTGCAGTAGGAGGAAGTTACTCGACTGCTGACGCACGTGCACTCAGAGTAGATTGGTGATCTGGCATGGCGGGTATGGGTGGCGGTTCTCTCTTTCCTAAAGTCCGTTGTACTCGCACCAGCGGGCAAGCTCTATTGGCAAACACCGTGCAAGGAGCTACATCTGAAGCCTTTCCCGTTGATGCCAAGCGGTCGCAAATCCCAGAGGCAAAAAAAAAAAAAAACCAGCTGCAGAATTGCGGTTGGTATCGTGTGACTGCCCAATTCCCATTTCCCAAAATAGTGTGGCGCCCTCAGCCATGTCTTTTCCGTATTGGGGACACGGTGTGACCTGGTCCACCACTAAAACCCCAACTTGGGCCTCCACAATTTCTCATAAATTGGGGATCTGGTATCGCAGTCTAAGCGTGCCCTCAGGCCGGACCTGCGTGCACGCGGGGCCGTGACCTACGACCGGGGGTTTAGTTTATGTTTCGTGTATTTTCCAACGTGGTCACACTAGGGCCGTCAGATTTTCAGATCTGATGGCAAGGAGCTGTGCACACTCGAAACCCGAACAAAACCTCGAGAGGGAAGTGATTTGTCACTTTAACATTGCAACAGACCCGGGTGGCCGTTTACGCCCGGTCACCTCTGGCCGTCGATCTTTGTACGCATACTGAACGACTAGATAACACTTTCTTTCCTAACTAGAAACAAGACCGCACAACCGCACGACCCTCTACCATGACCGCAACCACACCGCCCGCATGACCGGTCGGTCCCCTTTCACCGTCAGCACCCCTTTATTGCATGCAACGACGCCCGAGTCACTGGCTGCCGCTGGCAGCATTCACCGCAGGGGCCAAGTCCCACGAGCAGCGTGCAGTGTCCTCGAAGGCTGAATCTGGACGTGTTTGTGGAGATGTGCGGTTGAGTAAGGTTTTGCTTTTTTTTTTGCTTTTTCGTTTCTGCATGCATCTACCCGCAAGTTCCGCAACTCCATCCACCGGCAGAAACCTGCATACTACCCGCAATTCCGTCCACCCCAACTCCATCCACCCCCAGAAACCTGCATACTACCCGCAACTCCGTCCACCCCCAGAATTCTGCATACTACCCGCAACTCCGTCCACCCCCAGACAACATG